CAAAAACGATTTTCAATTTTTTTGTAGTTTATTGCACTTTTTTGCAATTAATGTAGTTACTATGGACTTAATGCATACATATTATTAAAATATGGGCTATAGCAGTTGTATAGCAACTTGAAATGCTCCCACAAATGGCACTACAACATGTAAAAACATAATATAAGCTCTGGTGGACTTGGTTCTATGGTAGGTCTTAAAGGGTTAAATAAATATCGTCAAATAATCGAGATCTCAATTTCAGTGAAAATAATCGTGATTATCATTTTTGCCATAATCGAGCAGCCCTATTCGTCTGTAGCTGATGAAACTCTGTATGCTCTGTTGTTTAGAACAAGGTTGCTTTGGGGGGTTTTATGTTTGGTTCTCAACTTCACAGAATTCCAGGTTTCGTTTAATTGCACTGCTAGTTGAACTTTAGCACGGGCGAATAGTGACTGAACAGAGGATACAGGAAAATACACCAAGAAGCCCGTGATACTGATTAACACTGGAAACCAGTAGCTGCAGTACTAGAGGTAGTATTTCTACTACTGCTACTCTCAGCAGGCTGCTCTCAGTCTTTCATGCTCCGTACTGTCAGCACTCCTGATAGCTGTGTTTATATGTTAGAGAGATTGACTAACAAGATGTTGGTTTTGGTCTTTTGAAGGGAACTTATTGAAAAAGCGTGATAAGACGCCAGCGGCTTCATCCTTTTGTGTTTGCATTTCCCGTTGTTTACTAAAAGTACACATGCATCGTGATATGCTGCCCGTTGTGTCACATACTTTTGATTGTATCTGGGTATTTATGCATTGTCCAACCATTGTAAACGCTGAATGTTTACCATTATGCTGAACATATATAATAAAGCCCATTAAAAGAAAATAGCTTTATATAAGAGTTCTGATTCAAAGCAGAATATAATTTGATCAGCTCGCGTGTGTGCGTGTGCTTTTGTGTGTGTTGTGTGTTATGTGTTTGTCCTCTGCGGTGCTTCAGTATGTTTGTGAGTGTGCGCACATTTGCAAGCGTGCTCCTGTCTTATCTACATGTACATTGCATTTTTGTGCCTGATTGCTGCGACTGAGTAAAACATGGAGGTAATTTCATCCGCTGCAGGAGATCTCTAATAGATTGGGCACACACACGCGCCCGCTCACACTCACACACACTCACGCGCCGAGTCACACACCGCTATGATAAAAAAAAAAACCATGCTGTCCATTCCTTAGCTGGGAACATCCCGTATCAATGACTTTCAAATCATTTCATGTCACTTTTCTTCTCTGTCTCCCCCCCGCTCTCCCTTTTTATCTCCCTCCCCCCTTGTTTCCTCTGTCTGTTGCTTTTCTCTTCCTTCCATCCCCCCCCCCACCCCACCCTCCGTAGGTCTCAATCTTGAGTGTGGGCAGTATGATTGCGTGTGTGAGCAATAATGTAATTTTGCCGCATTGATAAAATATAAATTGTCCTTGAGCTGCGCTTTTCTAATGATCCATTTACCGGCAGCTTCCCTGCCACCTCTCAGTGCTCTGCATTTGGTCCTCTTCTACCCTCCCACTCGTCGTCTTTTTTTCTCTCTTTTCCCTCACTCTTGTCTTCTTTCTCCTCCTTTCCCTCTCTTTCCTCTCCATTTTCTTCCCTCACTCTCCTCATCTTCCCCGCCTCCCCTCCCTTTCTCCGGCGATACAAAGCGGGGTGGCAAAATCCGCGGGTGCGATTGTCAAATCAATTATTCATTCTGTGCAATTACACTCACACAAAGAAGTTTCCCTGTGCTCCGAGTGGTGATTAAATTAACTGCTATTCCAGCTGCCCGTCGCCACCAGCCTAATAGAATATTCATGGAGGCGGCCGACGGAATGGCCGATCTCCATTAACTTCATCATGCTCACTTAATTACAGGCTTGTTATTGTATTTACACCTAGTTAGAGCGTGCAGAGCCCCGATCTACTCGTGCCCAGCACCGCCAGCGTGTGCGCGAGTGTGTGACAACACCTAGTTAGAGCAGAGATAACCCCTGATACACTCACTGTGCTCGTGCGTGCATGAGAGACCATGTGCACGCGTGTGTGTGTGGGTGTCATGGAGACAAAGATGGTGTCCTGGTTGACAAATTTCCATTCAGGTTCATCAATTTGACAAACTTTTCAGGTGCGTTCTGTTCTCATATCTTTGTTCCTCTTTTCATTCTTTCTTTTGCTATTTTTGCCCCTTTTTTCCCTTCACATCTAGGCCTTCCAATATCACCATCTCGCCTCCCCTCGCTTCTCCTCACACCTCCACCTCACGCTCACTCTTTAGGGGGAATCTATTTATTTGAACCGCACTCCCTACTGTGCCCCGACTTGCAGCAAGGTGTCTCCTTCTTTCTTTTCCTCTCCGTGACTTTTAAATCATTCTTTTATCCGTTCGCCACGCAGTGATTGAGGTGGAAAAGAGAAAGGAGTGAGGAGGAGGGGGGGGAATTATTTTCTCCTACCTTTCAGAAATGATGACATGATTGCTTTCGCTTGATCATGCATCATCACCCCCCCTTCTATTCCCCAGATAAATAGACTAGTCTGCCTCTGCCTGCCTCTCTTCTCCCTCCATCCCTGTCCATCCTTAGCTAACGTGAGGATTATCTGGTAATAGTGGCTGCTGGTGTTAAAGTCAACCACACCATCTTCTATATGTGTGCGTGGTGTGTGTGCACATGCATGTGTGATTGCTGTTTCTGTCACATAGATGTCTTTAGTGACTGAGTTATTGTGCTTTTTAAGTGTTTAACTACCTTCGTTGTCATGTATTTTGTGTGTGCGCGCGCCTCACTGTTGATCTCTGTGTATCTAACCTTTGTTCCCTTGGGCAGTCGGTGGGCTGGTATTTATCCAGCAGCCACTAATGCAGCAGGCAGGAAGGACGAGACAGGAGATAGGGCTGTGGAGATGGCGAGGACATGACAGTCGGCCATATGGAGGACTTTGTGTGTGATTTAGATAAACACAGACACACTTTGTTTAATTAATCACATCGATGTCCGTTTAATCATTTAGTCATTTAAAAAGATGAAGCCTTTAGTATTTAATGGAATTATACCACCTAAACCAGCAATGTGAACTCATCACTTTGGGCTGAGGGTAGCGGTGACATAAGCAGTTTTCACACATGCACTGCAGCCCTTCATTCTTAAAGACATCGCCCACCAGACGTGATTGCAAGAGCGTAAATGTCCGATGTTGTCCACTTGGACGTTAGCCGGCTCCCACCCTGCATTGGCACCAAGTCTTTGTTTTTGTCTGGTGCATTCACTGCTAGCAAGTGAATCTCATGTTTGTATTTCCAGTCCTGAGAATGAGTTTGGCTGCACATGTAGCACCCGGACCCCTGCTGGGTGCTACAATTGGGGGAAAATATCCGTGCCCGATCTTCTGAAATCGTCCAAAGTTAAACATCTGAAGACGGCCACAGTCCCAGCTGCTACCAGCTTGTTTTTTTTTTCTTTTTAATCAGTTAATATGCAAATTATTTACTCAATTTATCATTTGTTTTATAAAGTGTCAGGAAATAATAGTTTAAAAAAAATGCCCCATGCAATTTTCCACAGCCTCACTGCTCATTGACTTTAATTTGCTGCTGACACCCTCTGATTGTTGTTGTTTACAAATAAGTGGTGCTGGTGCCTAAATGATTTTTATTCGAAGCTCCGAGGACCAAGTTGCAAGTAAAGTGAATAAAAGTGATGACTGCGGCTTGTGAGGGTTTTTTTTTTTCTTTCTCCACTATAATTGAAAATGAAAAGATTAAAAACACAGTGCCCATTTTCCTGCTTCTTCACCTGCATCAGCTCGCTGTTATACCTGATGTCGCATGCTGCACTCATTGGTTTGACGCTGTGTTATTACTTGGTAGATGATACTTCATCTACACTTGACGCTTGGTATAATACTGTAAAGATTTGGTTGTAGTGGCCGCCCTGCCCGCTCAGTCTTCTCTCTGGCCTTATTGCGGCCCACCTGGAGAGATAACGGGGGCAAAATATTGACTTGATGCTCTCGTTGGGGTTTTTGTATCGATCTTATGATCGTGTGTGTGTGTGTGTGCGCCATCGACCCATCAGTCCAATTCTGTGTGGTCTCCCTCCTAGCCCTCAAACTTGATAGCATTACTTGCAGATAGCATTGGATCTGTTAGCTCTCTCCACTTAAGGTTAAAACACTCTTTAAGTTTTTATGAGTAGAAACAAAGTCATTGTGCTCTCTGTTACTCTACAGTAGGACTCTGCACAGCTTAATCCCACGGATGGAGGGCAGCTGAAGTCATCCAAGAGTGAATAGTTAGGTTGAAATGCATGCATGATCCTTCTACAGAGCTCTAACAATATCAAATCTTCTTTCTGTCCTCTTTCAGAACCTTTTAACAAGATGAATGAAGAAAAAGACGTCTATCGGAAGCTAAAGGATGTACCAGACAAAGCCTTGGCATCCAGCGGGTACTCGGAGATTAACCTGGCCAAACTCTTCCAGGCTTTCTCCTCCCTCAAGTAAAACAACATAAACCTCCATGAAGACGTCACCACCAAGAGGCTCCAGTTTCTGACTCAAAAAGCTGGACATATGCTCACACAACCACATCTGTTTTCTTTGTTTGCAGTTTCCACATATAGACCTCAGCCTCCTAACCCTTATGTCATCTACCCTGTAGCTAATGGTCTTGTAATATAGCTTAAAACCCAATCACAGCTTCCCCATCCGCACACACACACACTCTCATTATTTGACCCCGTCACCCTGGCTCTGTATGGTAAAGGGGAGCAGCAATCATACCTAAATGACAGCCTATTGTGCGTGCAGAGGCTAGCTGTGCCCAGATGTGTGTGTGTGTGTGTGTGTGTGTGTGTAAGTGTGAGAGTGTAAAAATGACTTATCCTCAGAGCAGCCAGTATAGTCCAAAAGCAGCTAATTACCCAATGATAGTGACCCCAGCCTCTAAGACCACTGGATGCCTGCAGCGATCGGACACTTGTTCTGATTACTACCATTCATCCTGTGTGTGTGTCTGTGTGCGTGTGTGAGTCAGATCAGTGGATGAAAGAAAAGAGTAAAGGAGGATGCAGGGAGAGACGGGGTGAGGCAGGCCACACGCGCTGCTCCCTCGCTCTTTTGTCCCAGTATCGAACAGCTGATCTTCTCCTCCACTGCGTCTGTTTTAACTGTTGCTTTTTAATTTCTTTCTCTCTCTCTCTCTCTCTCTCTCTCCTCCTTCCTCCTCTGTGCAAATTGTTTTTAAAGCATTTAATGTTCTGTGTAACAGAGTTGTATCTCTCGGTAGGATTTTTGTCCTGTTTCTTTGTAATGATCAGAATATTTTGATATTGAACAATTTAATGTTTTTCATACTGAAACCTCAATAAAAGGCTAAATGGATAAGAAGTTAGTCCTGCGTTGTTTGGGGAGTGGGTGGGGGAGACGACAAACTGGGTGGGTGGAGATCCTGGTTTGCCACTGTAATGGCACTGTGATAAAAGTCAGATTTATTAAATTGGGGGAAAAAATGGTCACAACATTGGGACATCTGGGTAGCTAAATAGAGCGTCATTCAGCATCATTTGCTCACAGGACCACTGAAAGCAACAATGAATCAATCATACTACCCAGTAATCTGTGTCCAGAGCCTGATGTAGCTCGTCATTTTCCTCCGCATCTTCAGGATCATATAGATTAGAATCTGCTGCAGCAGGTTATATGTAGTGTTAATAATATAGCTCCTGCATCAAACTGTTGCTAATAAAGTCTATAATGAGTACTAAATGAAATAAATGTCCTAATATTATATACATTAATTTTTTAATCTTCTTATTTTCACATAAAGACCAACACAGAAAAGTCATGTCCCAGAAATAAGTCTAATCAGGAGCTGAGAGAAGACTTAAAGCCTTCTATTAGGACATTTTATAAGCCTGTATATTGACATGTTAGTTTGTTCTAGGTAATCATTTGATGGTAGAGTATTTTACCCAGTTAAATCCCAGTGCACGAAGCATTCCTGCTCACTGATTGCTCCCAGTGCAAGCACACCGTTAAAGGGATTAAACTATAACGTTTGCCCAAATGCATGTTAATCTATAGTAATGCCAGCCTGTGCGTGCTAAATGCTGGCTGTATTTACTCAGCTCTACTTAAAGTTCAACATGTAACCCGCTGCTTGAGTGTTTCTCGCGTTTTTCCTCCCAAGAATTCTCCTTTGTGTTAATACAGTCGAGGGATTTTTTTTTACTCCATCCTGCCGTGTGCATTTCCATAAACACTGTACGCCTCACAAATCACTTCAAACCACTGTGACTTGTGAAGGCAACCTTAAGTGGGCCGAACACTTAAACCGTGATTCACTATGCAATGGATAGAACATGCTGAGTGTGTGTGAGAGAAAGCGTCTGCATGCATTTACAGACATAACTTTACATATTTATTAAAGCATATTAGTTCCACTACTTCTCCCTCACTAACTTATTTTTTTCCTTCTTTACTTTCCCCTCCATTTAATCACCCTCAGCTCACAGTAGCTGTGCTCAGGCCTCCTGTTCCCTCTATCAGACTGCGGGGTTTTTTGAGTAAGGGCCCTCGTTTTGTCCTCCCGCTTTGCAGTAAACCAGTCAAATGAAGTCCCCTGCATTAATTTGACCCTGCTAAGCTAATAAGGTCGAACAAGTCTCTTTGTATTGTCGTGTTAAGCTTTATTGCTTGTCGTTTTGACCAGCGATGGACAAGGTAGGCTTTGATGAGGGAATTAGTCCCCTATTCTGTCGCTGTTATTCATAGCGCGGTGGAACATACAAGCACCAGAGAGGGTGTCAAAAGGAGAGCTGGTCCTATTGCAAAGTGTCTCCCTTGTTGGAGCTGAAAGGGCGGTTATGAGACGATAAACCGCTTAATACACTGAGCTAATTGGATGAGAGCAAGAGAGACGGGGGAATTAAGGGGCGATCCGAGAGGGGAGCGGAGAGCCATGGCCCTGCTATTCAGGTCTTTCATCGGGCCTGGTTCTCCGCCTGGGGGGAAAGGAGGGGGAGCCGTTCATCAAAGCGCCTTTTAGAGCTCCTCTCCCGGGGACTGAGTGAGGACTGATCCGGCTGAGGCTGTGGAGTGATTGGACCTATTCTCTCTGGCAGGGACGTGGTGGGGGAGACGAGGCCGGGGAGAATCCAAAATCACGGACCAAATCAAGTCCAGCAGCTCGGGGAAGGAGAAGGAGAATGATGAAAATGGGCAGACAAGTCAGTGGGGGGAGATTTTCTGGACGTTTGGATTTACCTGCGAGAGGCGGGCAGTAGCATTAAGACCCGCTGCACTGACGCAATCCAGCAAATAATGCAGATTTGGCGTCTTTTTTTTTCTCCTTTTTTTTTCTTGCAGCCAGTTTGCAAGAAAACAGCTCGCGATTGGACAGCCGGCCCCATTTTTATATCAACATTCATTATCATGGTCATTCATGCAATAAGGAGCCTCCTGGCCTAATCCCAAGTGCAGGCGCTGTCTTGAATGGAAGGGCACACATCCAACAAGTGTGACTTTATAAATCCAGAGCCATTGGCCTTCGACAGCATTTCAATTTTCTCGCCTTTTTGCGCTGCAAAGAAAGTTTAAGCCTCGCTCCCAGCGGGTCACCCGCCTCCTGGCATTCCCCAGATATTAGGGACAAATTGGTTTGCCATTCATTAGTTATATTCACAATAAGATTAAAACTTCCCGGACAATCTCATCAAAACCCTATACAGGAAAAAAACACACACGCTCCACCGAGCTTGAGCAAAAGAATGGGGGAAATTTTAAAAAAACATGGAGCTCTCACACATCGTGGATGGTGGTTTGGGCACATAGGAGAAAATTGGTTTTTATCTCTTTTTTTTCGGCATTATGCTCCAAGGGGCGGCTGGATGACTTTGTCAGAAGCTGCATTGGGATAAATTCAGATACATCTTTCCATCAGTCTACTGCCGGATCTAATTCCTGCATGTTTGGAGTAAAATGGCTGATTAACAGGTATAAGATCATAAAGCAAAGAGCACTGAAGGGACAAGAACAGGTTTTCTTCTTCTTCCATAGATGCACACAATAAAAACATGGGCTACATTAATCCGCAGGGTAATTTCACGCGATTTGGTCGGGCACCGAGGAGAGTAACCATTGATTGCTGTAATAGTCCTGCATCAGTATAGCGAGATCCAATGGAGAGAGAGAGGAAGGGAAGAGGGGGGGGATTGAGGGGAATTAACTCTACGAGGTTGTGTGTGTGAAAGCAGTTTGATGAAGTGGTTTGTTACTTCATTAATGACAAAGGGGACTCGCTTCCATCGAGACGGCATTACAGATGTTAAGACCAATTTAGCGCCTTTAAAGGGTTTTAAAGGAAGTTTTGTGACGGGCCCCCCAAGATAAAGTGGGCGATCTAATTGAAAACCCCTCTCCTTTGTCGCGCGTTTCACATGTTGGGGATTAAGCTCATGAATATATGGTCAGTATTTTGTCAACTCCACTGAAGAGGATAGACGCACGCAGCGCACCGGATTAAACACCTCGTGGATTTTGGCTTTCTGCAGGTGGAGCTGCATCTCGATAGATTCCTCTTCTTTGTTTCAGCTGGCCTGCAGGCATGAGTGAACACCAGGCAACGTGTGAGTGAAGCTGGCTGGATATTTATTTTACATTCCAGCATTGCTCTCTAATGGCACCGGTGGCATACATTTAAAATAAATAAATAAATAAATAAATAAATAAATATTCAATTTAAGACAGAAAGCGTATTTTTTTCCATAACACTTTTTATTAATAGTTCTATAATATTCTATTTCGCATTATTTAATTTTCCTGGTTTTAGGCCTATGTGAGTCCTAAAGGAATCTGAAATAATAAACGATAACAAATTTTACCAATGTAATTTATTCAAATTAGTTATATTAAACCAGGAAACGTACAATCACTTAATAATTATAAGAAAAACAAAAACAAAAAGCGTCCTTCACTCATTTCCTTAAGGGGGGTAGGGAGGGTGGCATAAATAATTATCTAAAAACCTAATAATTGATAAACACGGGTGGAATTCTACACAGGGCGACATTCATTACACACTACACCGAGTGCAAAGGATCAAAACACGGTCTCTTGAAATATACACGACCTTGTTTTGATTTTATTTTTTTTTTACTCCCCCCCCCCCTTTTTTATTTTTTATTTTTTAAACGCAGTATGTACAGTTTTCTCTCACACAGTCAGGTCATTAAAGAAACACCAGATCTCTACGCTGCTCGCGTGCCCTGCAGTCACACTCAGCGGAAATGCCACCGCTGTGATAATCAGACAGGGAGGAGAAAAATTGCAGTAAATTTACAGAAATCTCGTGCTGACGTGGACTCAAACCACCTTAAACCACACTGAACTGATACAGGGATTTAAAAATATAGGCCTATATATATTTATATACGTATATATGACGGCTGAGTGTGACGGTCGGGTAGGCGAGCAGTGGAGAGGAGTCAGGCTTGTAGAAGAGAAGGCTATGGAAGGTCTATGGACAGTTTTCCTTTGGTTCAGGGTGGACCTCCTCCAACACGCCTTTGTCATAGATGCAGACCTGCTCAGCCCACATCAGTGCATACAGATTAAGCAGTGTTAATGTCGAGCACTCGCCGTTGTCCACATTTGAAGTAGCACAAGATTTCTTTCTAGAAGTCTGGGTTCCCCTGCGGTTCTTCAGCTCTCACAGCGCGCGCGTGCATGTGTGTGTGTGTGTGTGTGTGTAAGATGACAGACTCTTAAGTAAAAACAGCCTGAAGATGGTCGGTTAAAAAAAAAGAAAAAGGTGTTTTTAAAATAATTGAATGCAGAGAAAGA